TGTTGTTTTGAACCTAAAGTGGGGAAACAAAACAGCAAACACGGGCTGGCTCCTTCACACTTTCCATGCAGAAGAAAGTGTAAATGGAATCTGGGTTAAAATGCCAGAGGTCACACTCTGATATTTCTAGTCATATCCAAATATATGAATCACTTGTATTGTTGTAGGGACTCAAGACACTTTAGTAGAACTTTCTATTAATCCAATGTAACTTTCCTATCCTGAGGCATAATTTGAATCTTTTACTAAGGTTTACTTTAATGACTTAATTATGTTGCATTTAAATATGCTGACACAGCTAGTTAAGTGATTCTGTACCACATTTTTGAGCTGACCTGTGGACACTCAAAATATTTCTAAAATTGGAAAGGAAAAATAGGGCAATACAAATGTCACACAGAAACAGGTAATACCAAAAACGAAAGCTATGACGCCACCTAACACCAAAGCAACAGTGGAAAAAAGCTCAAATGATCAATTGTTATCTCAATACTACATGAAAAGATGTATCTTGAATGACTTCTTAAAAACTTCATCAACTTGTGCTTTGAACATCCTGAATAAACGCTGCTTTTATGTACTCACATTTCTTAACTCTTCCATTCTGCCGATTCAGAACTAGTCATCCCCACCCCCACTCAAGTCCTTATTGTAGCCTATGAGTTGCACAACGCCCAAGACTGTGACGCACTAAGCTGTTTTTCTACCTAGAAGGACAAAATCTGATTTTAAAACCCTTTCAGCCTATTTCTCAAATACTTAACTTGTGTTGTTTAATCATGACAGACTAGTTGCATTTGAAATCTTACTCATTTCACAAAACATCCAACTTTTTGAAAAGTTTGACTTTTAATATTTTAAGGCAAAAAGTAAAAGCAGCTTCATTTATGAACGTCGAGTGTTTCATCCATTCCCTTATTCCGCTCCCTCCATATTTCTCTTGTTGGAAATTGAAATTTAACCAGGTCAGTTCTGGACTTCACCATTTCATATGAGGTTCAAACAGCTACCAGGGGAGTTAGGCTGAATTATTTGCTAAACTCTAATATTTTAAATTTATAAACTTCAGAAGGAAGACAGCTTTTGAAGCTGACAAAAAAACAATCAGAGAACAGTAGTCTTTTTGTGCACTGCCCAGAAATTCAGTTACAAAGTGGTCCTATTGTGTTTCTCATAATTTACATTTACTTTTTTGGCAGAGCAGAAAGGGGGAAAAAAATAAGAAGTCAAACTTAGAGCCCTACGACAAAAATGAAAGACAGCACTTTTATTTTAAATGTCCCCTTGACATTTAGATGCAATATTTAACATTTACAGGAGATAAGAAGGCAAAAAGAAATGGCAGCTGGCTCCCTGCAATGTCACTGAATAGGTGTGGGACCATTTCATTCTGCAGAAATTGACTGGATCTCTCTGGCTGATGGCCACAGGAGGCCTGTATGGAACCAGTGTCATGGTGGGTCTCTTCTCTGAGATGATCTGCAAAAAGGAAAAAACCTGGATGACAAGAATCCTGATGTCTGAACTATGCAAGCCAGAGCAGACATTCTCTCAAACAGATCAATACTAACCAAGGTGCAGCTGAAAAACAGGATGGACTTGTATCATTAAACAAACATCAGGCTGCTTGTTCACAAGGGCCAAAGAAACACAGCAAGAGTGTTTTCCACAGTGTGTTTGCCCATGACCTCCAGCCTGACCCACAAGCCTTCCCTCTGTGGTGGGAAGTCTTCTTGTACTGTGTCTTCCTCTGGCATTGTAGGACTCCTCTGAAACTTGGCATTGCTTTTATGGCAAGTGCGTCTGTTTGGGCCTAGCCAAGACAATGACATGACACAAAATACTAATCAATGCGATTGATTTAGTCAAATGATTTGCATTGGGTCTTTGACAACATACAGACAATGACTCAGAGACAGGATTTTTACGTATTACCCAATCATGCTGGAATTAGGTGGTGGTGTCTTAGATTAAGTTAATTCAGAATACATTTCTACCTAACCAAACAAAAGTAACTGGATATAACAAATACATTTGCTCTAATGTCCACATTAAATACCTTTTTACTAAGTCCTAAAAAATTACTCTACTCTAATTTTCATTTCCCCACACAACCTTTCTGCCCCAAAAAGTAATATTTGCATGTGCATATGAAATCCTTCTGTAACACCTCTTTATATGTGCACATGTAAATGAAGCTCTGAATCTAATAATGTGCAAATTACATCATTATCTTCACTACTAAGGTCTATAATATATGGGGAAATCATTGCAATCTGTAGAGCAATCATCCCCCAAAAAGTATGGAGAATCAACTGTCAATTGCAAGTGTTCTTCTATGCCTCTAAGCAGGAAGACTTCTCACACAACTGCATGTGTGTAAAACTGACACGTTCTGTATGTTCATTGTGTGAAAAGTCAAAAAAGATCCCAGCTTCCGGGGTTCCTGACCCGCTCAAGAGTAACGCACTCAATTAAATGGGAGGCAAGTAGCAGATCCTCTAACGAGGTGTGGGTCTTCCGAATGTTTCAGTGGTCACGGGTGAGGCTGCCACAGAGCCAAGGTTTCATTAAACCAGGTTAACAGAAGATGTGTCTCCTGCTGTCACAAAGACAAATTTGGGAGCAGGGAGGTGAGTAAAGGAGGAGTAAGAGTATTCGTTAGCTCCTGCTCTTAAACTTTCCCTGGAGAGAAAAGTACAGAAGGAGACAAACTCTCCCCACAAGCACAGGAGCGCACAAGATCCATCTCTCTGAATAAAGGAGAAATAAATTCAAGTTTGGAACTCTGCCCACCGAGTGGCGGCTCCAGCAAAGGGGACAGTTTGCTATTAATTGTTAATGTCGTCTGCCATTAGAGGGCACTAAACAACTCTACATTAATGCATTAGAAGAGAGAAAGGAGCCGGGAAAAGAAAGAGGGGAGGCAGACGAGGGAGGGATTGGAGAGCTAGGGGAGAGTCGGTAGAGGGAGAGAAAGAGAGGCGAGAGGAAGGGCTGGGGAAAGGGATGCGGGAAGGCGTGGGAGGGCCGGAGGGAAAGCGGGAAGGGGGAGGGGGCTGGAGACGGACGGACTGATAGGGAGACACACGGAAATCTGGGAAGATTAAAAAGGACGTGGAGCCTCCAGAGCCGTCTGAAGTGAGCCCCGAGCCAGCCTCCGCCGGCCACCGCGCCCCTCCCTCGCGTGCTCACGACGGTAATTATAAAGCGAAAGGCGGCGGCGACGGCGAGGTCACCGTTTTTACCAGCCTGCTGCACCGAATGCGCGCGGTGCAGGTGCGGCGGCCGCGGAGCTTTGTGATTCATGCCCACTTTCAAAGGGGGCTCGGGCCGTCTGAGAGGCACCCAAACAACTGTCTTCTAATATTAGCACGGCTGTATTTCGGGATCTATTATAGTCTGTCCAGACAGATCCCATTGTAATGGGATCTTTTATTAAAAGATTAGCACTATCTCCTGCAGTTGGTGGAAAAAAATCTGTTATCACTGAGTTATTTGCAGTTGTGGAGGGGGTGGGAGGGGGTGATGGAAGATGGTGTGGGAGGGCCAGAGAAGGACTTTGTGTGGGGGGGGTGCAGTGAAGGAGGGGCGGATTTGAAATCCTTAGGACAAATCCCAGTGACCTGCGAATGTCCAAGAATTTGTCTGCATACTTCGCTGTCTGTTGTCCTTCAGGTTTGGGAAGCCAAATGAATAGAAAATTTAAAAGGCAGCTTTGGAATAAACAATATAGCATTTTCCGTGAAGTAATCGTTTTATATAAAAGGAAATATCGCCTCCTCAGTTTCATTCAGCGGTGCCAAAAATGTTATAAATGAGAGACCCGCCAACTTTCAGGCGAAGAATGCCGGGCACTGTACTTAATAAAGTGAAGCTACAGAAGTTCATTATCGATGTTGCAATCTTTTTTATTCGCGGGAAGAGAGAGAAAGAGAGAGAGAGAGAAAGAGAGAGAGAGAGAAAGAGAGAGAGAGAGAGAGAAAGAGAATGAATAAATGAATTGAGTCTGGAGCCGAGCAGGAGAAGGAAGGGACACAAGCGCCCAGGACAGAAACTGGGGAGTCGCCGGGCCGGGGAGGAGGGGGCAGACCGCCTACGTCGGCGCCCCCCGCTCAGGGCTCCGACTCCAGACGCCGGCGAAGTGAAAGGGGAGAAAAGAAAGGGAGAGGGCCAGACTGCGCCGGGGGGTTGGGGGGAGGCCGGGTCTGAGGTGTTAAACATTTTTGTTTGCCGGCGACTGGTCGGGACCCGGGGCTGCGTCTCCGAGCCGCCCGGCTGGGGTGGAAGGTGCCAGGGGGTGCGGAGGACAGCCGCCCAAGTGCAACACGTCCAGACCCAGACACAAAACCTCGCCGGGTCCCCGCGCACAGCCCGGTGTGGGGGTTCCGGCGGCCAGGGTGCGACCCCACCCTGAGCGAGGTGATCTCCCTCCAGCAGCAGCCCCTGGCTCTCGGGTCGCTTACAAAAGTCTCTGCCCCAGCGGAGGAGCGGCGGCGCGGGGACCCAGTCCCGCGTTCCCCGCCCGATCCCACCGCGCCCCGCGTCGCACACCCGCACGCACACAGACAGACACACACACTCGCACTCACGCCACCCCAGGCGCAGCGCGCTGCCTGCGAGTGGCGGCGTGCAGGACTTGAAGTGGGTGTTCTTCCCCGCTCCCCACCCCCGAGCGTCGCCCCCACCCCCCCATTCCCCACCCCCCGCCCCGGCCTCCTGCCCCCTCCCTCTCGCTCCTACGCAAATAAGAACTCGGCGATTCCCCTCCTGCTGCTTTGATTTCGGGCACCTCCGACAGATAATTGGGAAGGGTTTCCAGAAGGTGGGAAATGTCACCTGATTCACAGTGAACTTTTAAAAGCTCCCCACCCCCAAGGAGCCGCGCACACCCTCGCTCGAGGCCGCCCTCCCACAGCCCCACACACTGGGAGACCGCCCACCGCAAACCGCGGAGACCCCCGTCTAGATTTAAAGCGCGGCTGCGCCCGGCTTCTGACGTCCATTGAATCGCGCGGGCTGCCGGCGGTGAGCGCGGGGCTGAGCCCGGATCTCTGCGCCCTCCGCCGCTCGCCTCTGAGACGCGCGCCACTCGCACCAGCCACCCCGCTGCCCGCCGTCGCCACTGCGCCCGCTCCCCCGCGCCGCCGCCGCTCTCCTCGCCCCGCGCCTGCCCCCAGGATGGTCCGCGCCAGGCACCAGCCCGGCGGGCTGTGCCTCTTGCTTCTGCTGCTCTGCCAGTTCATGGAGGACCGTAGCGCCCAGGGTAAGCGAGGCGGGAGTATGGGGCAGTGGGGGAAGATGCGCTGGGCAGATTCGGCTGCGGACACGGGGGGCTCGACTTTTCCGTGGTCTCCACTCTGCGGTGCTCGCAGCTACGCAGCTCTGGACCAACTTAGCGACTCCGCGGTTGGAGAGGAACCGGCAAACCGGAGGCAGTGACACTTTAGGACGGGGCAGTGGAGTTGGGAGCTCGGCGATCCTTTAAAAGGATAGGGAGTGAACTGGAGTCTGCCTCAAGTAGTTCGGGGTGGATGGATGCTGCGCGTTCTAGCCAGGATGACTTTAGATGGAATCTCCCGTGCTGGGGGACCAGCATCCACAGCCTGCGGATTTCCGCCACCCGGTTTGTAGTAGAACCTCCGCCCTCACATCTTTTGGAGACTTCTGGGGTTTGGGGAGACAGACACACTGGCTGTTTCCCGGTGGCAGGGACAGGGTTTCAGAAACTTTGCCCAAACTTGGAAATGTGGGTGCTGAAAATTTTCGGGGGAAGTAGATTTCTGCCCAATGAATGCTGCTTCCAACCCCGCAAAAAGGGGGGGGGGGGCAAATTGTTACCCAAGAGTGTTTTGAGTACTTCACAATGCTCCCCTTCATTCTGTTAACTTTTTGTAAAACAGCGAAAGTGTTCATGATTGATTTAAACGCTGAGATGCACCAAGAGCAAATCTGAAGTTTATCTTTTTAAAAATAACAGTTTATTAACATTAGTCTTGGGCAAAATTAAAAAAAAAATCATAACAGCCTGTATTGCAGTGATTGTAAAGTCATACTTCCTGACCCAAATCTGAACGTTAGAAGAGGGGAAGGGTAGACAGAGTCCCCGAGAAGGTTTCTGGCTAGGTGGGAGTAAGCAGGAGCCAGGTGTGACGAGCCGTGACCCGGGCCTCGGTACTCTGCCCGCAGGGTGGGTGCGCATCCAGGCTGTGAGCCGCCCCGCAGGGCACTGCCCCCGGCCCTCTGCGCCGCCCCGCGCTAAGCTGCCCGCCTTTGCCTTTCAGGCAGAGGTGCTGCCCGCGCCGGGGGGGGGTGGGGGCCGTGGGCGTCAGGGAAAGCAGCCCTGGGAGATTTCGAAAGCTCGCGGTGGCCCCGGGCGTGCTCCGGGCTGGCGGATTGCAAAACGGGCCCGTCGGACGGGCTGCGCCTCGAGGCTGCGCGGGGCAGCTCCGGGTTGCTTTTTTGCTTTCATTTTTTCCGCAAGTGCCTCTCGCGCGCGCGTGCGCGCCCGTGTGTGTGTGTGTGTGTGTGTGTGTGTGTGTGTGTGTGTGTGTGTGTGTGTGTGTGTGTGTGTGTGTGTGTGTGTGTGTGTTTCCGTCTCCTCCTTCTCCTCTCTCCCTCTCTTCTTTCTTCACCCCTGTCACAAATAATTCCCGTACCGCCTACATGAAACCGACATGTAAAAACATCCGTCGCATCCTGTTTTTGTCAGGTTCTTTAATCTGCCCTTCGAGTCGCTGCAGGTTATGAAATGGGACGAATAAAAGTAAACAGTCTAGTAAAAGTCAATGCAAGCTGCACGTGTTGTGTCTGGGTCACTGGTAACTGACATTGATACGGCTGGGGCGCTCTAGCTTCTGCCTCGCCTTCCTTGCCCCTCGCCCACCTCCCGGTGCTGGGCCAGAACTCCCTCCACCCCCGCCCCGTCCCCACCACCTTCCCCTTGCCCCACCTCTGTACCCCCTTCTATTTACTTTCCCTGTTTCTCCCCAGGCTGTGCGTGCTCCCATCCCTCCCCTCCTCCTAGCTCACTCCCTCCTGGTCTTTGCTCGCTTGCTGGCCGTCTCCCTCCCAGGGCCCCCGCTCATCCACCTCCCCGCCCCTGTCTCTTCACAGCTGGGAACTGCTGGCTCCGCCAAGCCAAGAACGGCCGCTGCCAGGTCTTGTACAAGACTGAGCTGAGCAAGGAAGAGTGCTGTAGCACGGGTCGCCTGAGCACCTCATGGACCGAGGAGGATGTGAACGACAATACGCTCTTCAAATGGATGATCTTCAATGGGGGTGCCCCCAACTGCATCCCCTGCAAAGGTGGGCCTCTTCCTCCCCAGCCTGAGGTCCTCAGCACAGGGCATCTTGCCCTGGGCTTCCCCCTAACCACCTGGCTGGCCAGGCGAATGGTTCCCTGGAGAGCTATGTGGGTGGGCTCCTCCCTCCTGCCTGCCCCCAGCTTTGGGAAGCCATTGGCTTTGGGAAACCATTGGAATCCCATCCCTGCCTGCCACAACTGTAGGTAAAGCAGGGTCTCACAGAGGTCACCAGACCCATTAGCCACTGTTGATGCATGAGGAAGCCAACACATCCTCCCTCCTGGATATGGTTTTGGGGTGCTGCCTCCAGTCCCCACCCCTGCACCCCATACCGGGTCTCAAGGGAGAGAGCTTAGGCTTCAGACTTAGGGATGGGTACAGGATGGACACAGCACCAACAAGCCCTCCTGGCTGACCCACGGACAGCCAGTTGGCCTGGCATACTAGTTTTAATCCCTACCTCTCATTCACAGAAACATGTGATAATGTGGACTGTGGCCTTGGGAAGAAATGCCGGATGAACAAGAAGAACAAACCCCGCTGCGTCTGCGCCCCGGATTGTTCCAACATCACTTGGAAGGGTCCAGTCTGTGGGATGGATGGCAAAACCTATCGCAATGAATGTGCCCTCCTCAAAGCCAGATGTAAAGAGCAGCCGGAACTGGAAGTCCAGTACCAGGGCAAATGTAAAAGTAGGTCCCGCCCACCCTGCTTTCCTTCCTGGAGCCTGCTACTTGCTCCATGCCACAGAGGTTTGGGGGGGGGGCGGGGAGTGCAGCCGGCGGGATGAGACCCACAGTGATAATAGCACTAGCATGTAAAGGAGGCCTTCTGACTTTGACAAGACAGATTAAGAGTGCCAAGGAATGGACCTAGAAACAGTAGAGTTCTCCAAGTGCCTTTCGAAACTGGATGCTTGAATTCCGTAACTGCCTCCTCCATCACAACCTGGTGCTCGCTCCTTAGAGGCCACAGGTGCCCATTCTTGTCTGTTTCCCTCTGTGTTTCAGAAACCTGTCGGGATGTGTTCTGCCCAGGCAGTTCCACGTGCGTGGTGGACCAAACCAATAACGCGTACTGTGTGACCTGCAATCGGATCTGCCCGGAGCCTACCTCCCCTGAGCAATACCTTTGTGGGAATGACGGAATCACCTACCCCAGTGCCTGCCACCTGAGGAAAGCCACCTGCCTGCTGGGCAGGTCCATCGGACTGGCCTATGAGGGAAAGTGTATCAGTACGTATTCCAGGTGTAGGGTGGCAAAAGAAACCACAGGGACGAGGGGCTGGCTCTTGGGTAGCGGATGCAAAGCTAGGCGATCATTAAGACCTCCCAAGCATGGGCTTACACCAGAGGGCAGGCTGCTCTGCAGTTTGAGTAAACTCTTCTGAGCATGGAATCTGTTTATTCTAGAAGCCCTGACAGCTATGTTCAGAGACGCAGGACACAGTATTCCAACTCAGAAAACTGAGAACTCACTCAGTTTTATGCCCTTTTTTTTGAAGCGCCAGACTTTCTGGGAGTGAAAAATAATTACTTCACAGTTCCTGAAATCTGTTATCAGATTCTAGCAATGGATGGAATTCTTTTTTTAAAGATCCCACTTGTAAGAAATAGTCACTTCAAGGATATTCTAAAATCCTGTTCCCCGCAAAATGATTGTTTTCATGCACTTGTAGAGAATACATGAGGTGCAAGGGGTGGTGTGTGTGTGTTTGTATGTGTGTGAGTGCAAGCACTTCACTTTTATTATCAAGCATTTTTGTGTAACATCTTCATGACCCACTCCCAGAAGTAATAAGGTAAAAGTTATATATTTCTCTACATGCAAGGGACTAGAGAAAGAGGGGAGATGGTGAAGTTGATTGACTCACCCACCCTATATATTCTATCCTAGAAGCAAAGTCTTGTGAAGACATCCAGTGTACCGGTGGGAAAAAGTGTTTATGGGATTTCAAGGCAGGCAGAGGCCGCTGCTCCCTGTGTGGCGAGCTGTGTCCCGACAACAAGTCGGACGAGCCTGTCTGTGCCAGTGACAATGCCACTTATGCCAGCGAGTGTGCCATGAAGGAAGCTGCCTGCTCCTCGGGTGTGCTACTGGAAGTCAAACACTCCGGATCTTGTAACTGTAAGTGTGATCGCTGCCCGTGCTGCAGTTTAAGGCTCTCCCAGCCAAACCCTGGGGAAGAGACACTTAAAAGGAATGCAAGCCTCCCCAGGTAGCCCCGTTTCTCTCTCCATGTAGGCAGCTGCTGACTTCAACCAGCAGTCAGGTGGTTTCCCCAAGAAGATTCTCTGCAATGCTTCCAGGTTTTTAGGGCTTACACACCTGGATGGCCTCTGAAGACCTACTTCCAGTTGTTTACCCTCTTTCTTTTGCCACAGTACTATTGCTTTCCTGTTTATTAACACTTGAATCTAATTGCTCCAAAAGTTTTAGTTGGTTTTTGGTTTGGGGGGTAGGTTTTCTTTATTTTCTTTTTTTTAATTTTTTTACCAAAGACAGCTATATCCTGTCATATTGGCCTGCTGCTTTTTGCAGTGGCCTGTACTAACTCTGAGGTAAGGACCCGAAGCAGTTATACCTAGAACACAAGAGCGCTTTTTATCTAATTTCAGGAATCTGCCTGTAAAACCTGAGCCATTGAGTCTTCAGAACTTTCTGCAGTGTTTGACTTCATAGATTATGTTTCTTTAAAAAAAAAAAAGTTTAAACTATTGCATAACAGCAGATGCCAAAAACAAACAAAAAATAATAAAAGCATCTCACTGCAAGTCACATAAAAATACAACGCTGTTATATGGCTGTCTCAGAGGGCTTTGAACACAGGCACTGAGCTGCTTCCGCGCTGTTGTCGTCCACATTTAAACAACAGCTCCCCTGTATTCCCCCATCTAGCCATTTCGGAAGACACCGAGGAAGAGGAGGAAGATGAAGACCAGGACTACAGCTTTCCTATTTCTTCCATTCTAGAGTGGTAAAACCTCCACCAACCAATGTTCAGTGTTGACATAGCCTTTGAGCAAAAAAAAAAAAAAAGAAGGAAAAAAAGAAAAGAAAAAAGAAAGAAAAGAAAAAATATATTGTCGATACTGTAAATAAGTGTATGCTTATTTATTTGGGGGGAAACTATAGATTAAAGAACCTTTGTCCTAAAGCTCTCTCCCAGGCCACCTTGGTTACTCATCGGACATGGAGAGGCGGTCACTGTGAGCTCTACTGGATGAGGCCCATAGTTGAGACTTGTAGACATTTATTTATACTGTGTCATGTTTTTCTAATTTATACATACAATGTCTGGTTGACTGTACACCTTGTTTTTGAAGAAATTTATTCGTGAAAGGAAGAGCAGTTGTTATTTATTGTGAGGTCTCTTGCTTGTAAAGTAAAAGCTTTTTTTTTTCCTTGTAAACCATTTAAGTCCATTCCTTACTATTCACTCACTCACCTATCTCCCCGCATTTCACTGTTAGACCCCTTTCCACTTTTAACAAACTTGCATGTCTGTTTCTGTCATGTTTATTTATTGGATTCTCTGCTGCCTGATCTGTACATACATGATCCCTCGGGTTTTGTTTACAAGGAATCTTGACTGACCAAAAGGCATTATAACTGACTCATGAGACATGGTACAGAGGATGCGCATCTTTGCGGAAACTCCTGCTTCAGCATTCTTGTAAGGATGAAGACGCTTGCGAGAGGGGGGAAAGACAGACAGTTGCTTTAGAAGTCTGGTGATGCTCTCTCAAGAAGATATAGATCCAAAGAAATGGGATGATGTGGGTAGCAGGAGACTAAAGGAAGGTGGAGGCTACACATTCAACTTCTGTTTGGTGTTTCCTTTAAGCTAGTTGGCTGTACCTTTCAAATTAGTTCTTTTTCAACCAATGTGTCACTAAAAGTTATATTGAAGCTTTATCAGTTCAAGTTTCTTGCTTTTCATAATACTTTTTTCTGATGCAATTTTATATTTTCAAACATGGCAAGTTAAATATAAATTCATTTAAATATATAGTTTTGTACTTTTCTACCATGTAAATGTGCAATGTATATAAAAGTTATAATGTGTATTTGTAAATAAATGATGAGTGAAAAAATAAAAAAATTTTAAAAAGCCAGTGGCCGCAATTCCTCATGGTCCCAAAGTGGTTGTTTGGGGTTTTGAGTAAAACTGTAAATGGTGACATTTGCAGATTATGAATGAAATTCGGTGCAGATTATGAATGAAAGGAGGCCAACAGAAGGAGTCACACTGATGGAGGAGACTGGATGTAGGCGCCTCCTTGTGCTGCACCAAGACTGAAGTTTCCTGAAAGCAACCACCCTCTTAGCTGCCTTTCTTACAAACTCACTTCCACTGACTGGGGCACCCTATGTTCCACTTCCCTGATAAGTAAGATATCTCTGGGGTAGGTGACGGGCCCAGCCGTTATGTCCCTGTTTGGGACGCCACATCCCTGATGAAGAATGCGCCCATGGATTCAAGTCCTGCCTGCTAATTCTCACTCTACAGAACAGCAGAGTTTGAGCCCCTGCCACCCACATGGTGGAGCCACATTGCGATCCCCCATTCCCAGCTGCTGTACACACTGCAGGACTGAACCAGCAAATGGGAGATTTCTATCTCTTTGCCTCTCAAATGAAATACGTAATATATATATATATATATAACTTTAAGATAAAGTGGCTTTTAGATCTCTGAGAAAAGCAGCACATGACAAAGAAAAGTAAAACAGACCCTAATATTTGACAGAAATAAGTATTATTTCTAAAGACTGTGAGGTGATGATAAGAGTGGAGATTTTTCACAGTGATGTATGTGGTTCATGGGGATTCAACATGACATTCATGGGAAAGCGGGTGGGTGCTCCGAGCCACAGAACGCCTTCCGAGCATCAGTCAGCGCCCCCGGGACACACCGCAATACATCGGCTTCCTAAGCAGTTCCTCAACACACGTTTGCTTTTCAACGTGCTACATAATCAAAGCCCAAGCACGTGAAAAATACCAAATGCAAACAGTTGAAAACTGCACGGAGACTGTTACCAAAATGGCTGTACAAATACACGTTTTTCTCAAAGTGCTTGACTCCAGTTACTTTTTCAAATTTTATCCTTTATAGAAACTCTGTTTCATGGGAATAATCACTAAAAATCATTATCAGCGACTGTTGACTCTCCACCGTGGTTATCAAGCAGGAGATTCAGTGGAGACAGAGGGACTTTCGTAGCCAGAGCCTGTCGTCATGATTAGGGGCCTAGGGTTTCGCTTTATTCCCTCCCTGGAGTCCCTCAAAAAGAGAAACAGAAGTGCAGAAAGCAAACAAGCTGAGATTGACCCAAGAATGTCAGAATCCTAACATCTCCAGCGTGGGTGAGCTGTGCCTGGCAGAAGCTCTCAGAAAGGCAAAGTCAGCAGTGGTTTCACAGCCCTTCCTGGAGTTTTTGTGCCACTTGGTCCTGGATGCTACAGACATTTGAACACTGCCATTGATGACTGGAGTCAATGTGTCAAACGTAACAGAAACCAATTTATGTTTTGAAATGGCGGGGTGATAAGATTAATAGCTTGCCTTTTAAACAACATCCAGATGATTTATTTAAGATTTTTATTCCATACATATCAACATCAAACATTCTTCCTAAATACCAAACAGTATCTCATTTTCCTTCTTGGAGTTTCCTACTTTTCCGCTAATCCTGCATTAGACTAATTAGCAGCAAAAAAAGAAGAAGAAGAAGAAGAAAAATTCTCTCTTAAAAGTAAAATATATTGGGCTGGGATGTTAGCCTAGTGACTGAAGGTCTTCACCTTGCATGCACCAGGATCCCATATTGGCACCAGTTCATATCCTGGCTGCTCCACTTCCCATCTAGCTCCCTGCTTGTGGCCTGGGAAGGCAGTCAAGGACGGCCCAAGGCCTTGAGACAATACACCCACACTGGAGACCCGGAGGAAGCTAATGGCTCCTGGCTTTGGATCAGCTTAGCTCCAGCCATTGCAGCCACTTGGGGAGTGAACCAGCAGATGAAGGATCTTTCTGTCTCTGTATCCCCTTCTCTCTGTATGTCTCTGCCTTTCCAGTAAAAAAAATAAGTAAATGAAAAATGTTAAAGTAAAATATATTAACATAATTAGATTATTCTTGTTAGGAATTCAACGAGGACCCAAGAAAGTCTAATTCTGTATGTATGTATGTAATAAACAGTTTCTATTAACTAGTTTTAATTAGTATGACCATATCCTAATAAATATCAGGAATTACAAAAATATAACTAACGAAAAAAATCTATCATAGATCTGATTTTCATCTTCCGTGCCCTCAAGTTAAGATTTTTTTTTTATGCCATACAGTATATGATTCCTCAAGCAAGATAAAAATAAGATCTAACATAATTAAAAATCATTCCCAAACAGAGAAGCTAAACGCAGTACACGACTATAGACTATATCTTGTACCTAAGGAGAAAATGCTGAGTAATAATCCTGGGACAACCGACACAAACAGAATACTATCAAATGAAAAGTATTGCATCAATGACAAATGTACTGAAATTGATTACTGCGGCAATGTAGGAGAATATACTTAGACTCAGGAAACACACAGTGAAGTATTCAGGAGAAAAAGTCAAAAATGCATACAGCTTACCCTGAAATGGCTTGGGAGTAAAAATATTATAGAACTTATCCACGCAAATATCCACATGACAAAATAAGAAAAACCCAAGTTAAAAGCTTATGCAAAATTCATGTCTGTCAGCCATTTGAATTTGTTCTTTCAAAAATTGTCCATTCCCTTCACCCATTTCTTCAGAGTTGCTTGCTTTGCTGTCACTGAGTTCCTGAAGCTCTCTGTAAATCTTGTATATTAGTTCCCTATCTTTTTCGTAGTGTGCCAAGATTTTCTCCTGTTCTGCTGGTTGTTTCTGCACTTTGTAACTTTTCTGTAAGTCTGAAATTATATCCTAAAATGCCAAAGAGGCAGATTACGAGGTCACTGTTTTGGTGTAAAAGTTTAAGTTACTACCTGCAATGCCAGCATCCTGTATGGGTGCTGGTTCGAGTCCTGCCTGCTCCATTTCAGATCCTTGTCCTCTGTGATGCACCTGGCAAAGCACTGGAAGACAACCCAAGTGCTTGGCCCCTGGCCACTCGTGTCAGAGACCCAGATGAAGCTCCTAGCTTCTGGCTTCAGTCTAGCCCAACTCTGGCTGTTGCAGCCATTTGAAGAATAAACCAGCATATGAAACAGCCTCTCTCAACCATACTCTCCTTCTCTCTCTCTCTCTGCAAGTCTGTCTTTCAAATAAATAATGAGTCTTTTTTTTTTTAATTCATTGTATGGGCCCAGCAAGGTGGCACAGCAGTCTATTCCTCTACCCTATGGTGCCAGCTTGCCACATGGCTGCCAGTACATGTCTTGGCTGCCCCAATTCCAATCCAGCTTTCTGCTTATGACCTGAGAAAACAGAGAAGGATGGCTCACGTGGGAGACCCAGAAGAAGTTCCTGGATCCTGGCTTCCAATCAGCTTAGCTCTGGCAGTTCAGACTGTTTGGGGAATGAACCAGCGGATTAAAAACCTTCTCTTAAAATCTCTCTCTCTATAAAATCTGCCCTTCAGATGAAGACAAATAAATTAAAAAAAAAAATAGTCATTTTATTCGACCAAAAGACCGGGAAATGATCTAGTGACTACACCAAGGCTATACAGAGAATCCAAACTGGCCCTGAGGGAATTCCTGACATCTAACCCACACCTGGACTGAGAAACAGCCTGGTCTCTACGGTCATCTTAACATGTAGGATGACTCATGTCTCCCTGAGAACAGTCAGGTGACGCTCATCCTCCTTCCTCACTACTTGATGGATACTATTTGACAAGTTACCTAGCCTCGCTGTATCTCAGTTTCCTCATCTGTGTCATAAGAACTGGGAAAAAGTACCCACCTCGCAACAATGTAAAGGTTACCAAAAAAAAAAAAGTGTAAAGTGCTTGGCTCAATTCTGTTGCATGAAAAAG